TTGTATTGATATTTGGTGTCAAATACACATATCTTGGTATATTTGAAGTCCCAAAACGGCTTAGTTTCAGAAATATCCCAAATTTAAATTCAAAAATGACCGTTAGCTCCGCACCCTCCGCTCATTTGCTCCGCACCCAATATTTCCCACAGGCTCTGTCTGCATAGGGTGATTTCTAGATGTACTTTTACATGCAGATTTCAAATATGACATCACTTTGACTGAATTTTGAATATTTAATGACGTAAATCAAGATTATTTCTACTCTCACCTAGTCTATTGTCAGCGAGCCAGTATTCATCTATAATAACAAGTACATGTACATAGTCTATGTAATTCTTTTTTAACCACTTGGAATGACTTGCAGCTGATAGGATTTTGCTACAATGTCCAGCCGATATTTTGCAATAGTCATGAATAGTCATTAGGGACTAGAGATGCAGGACATATTTTACACATGTTTTTATGTCACCCACTTTTTGTGGACTGCAGTTTGTGTTTGCCATGGTGGTGGTTGGCATCTGTAACAAATGGTTTTTAACAAATGGCAGGTGGTGTATTTTGTATATTAATGCTATGTTATGAACTCTGTTAACACCTAGCAAGAAATTGTAAGGAGACACACAAAATGATTCAATACTTTTCTCTTTAGGCTCAGAGACTAGAGCAAGAAATCAGCAAGTTACAAAGGTCAAGGTCAACACCCGAAAGGTCAACTGAACTGCCAGCATTGAAGGTAGGTCATTGTTTACCAGAGAGTTTTCAAATGGGTCATGTTTTTATTTATAAATCAGGATGAAAAAGAGAGAAATTAGCAAGGAATACAATCAACAGGCATGTTGTCAAATCTCAAAATTGTAAAGAAATGTAAGAAAATCTGTCAGGTCATTCAAATTTTAGAGAGAAAAATCGAAATTGATATGATCAGTTTGAAATATTTCTAGGTCATAAACTTTATTTGTTGTGCTTTAATGGCATGTAGTATATTTTGTGGTTCCCCCATGTTTATTTCCCCCATGCATTTTTGTTTAATTGTAAAACGATAAAACTGTCAGAGTCGATTTTTCCTTTTTCCGAGATAATTTAATTACCCATGAATTTTCATCTTGTATTCTGAACACTTCAAAAACTGATTTAAATTATTTAGCTACAAATTCCAAAATTATGTCTATGTTGCAAAATATATAAAAATACAAATAACAGCTGTTACCATGGATATAGAAGATAATAAAACAAATCATATTCTCTTATTAACAATAACCAAAGAAATGAACATTTTATTTATAGGACGGTTAAAAATGTCCTTTTCTCACACTCACGGTAGATAATCATTTTTCCGTAAAATTAATCGCAATCTTTAAATTAATGCAAGAATTCATAAAATACCATTTAGGTCGGTTAATTGTTTTATCACTCCATTGTGCCTCTCTTGTACAAACATAATAAATAAACACTTAATTTTGATACCCTTACTCATTAAACTGAACTAAAATATATGGCCCCGTACAAAATATTTCCATAAAAGTTTTTGATTTAATTTATAAGTCAATATTTTTGTCAATGTTAGGGATGTTATAAACATGTTTTAGCTAAAAAGAGTGGAATCAGCAAGGAATTGTGCAAACAAGGTTGTTTTCATCGTAATCCTTCTCGGAATGCAAGAGAACAGGGCACTACCTATCCATTCAAATTTTAGAGAAAAATCGCAAAATATAGATACAGCTATTTTCTTATTCAGTTAGGTGAATATTAAGAATTCTCCACCATTGTCATCATCATTTGTTAAAAATGATTCATTAATAATTCACTGTTTGAAAATAATTCAAGCAATTTTTGTTTTCTTATTTGTTCTTGTTAGAGAAATTTTGTGGTAATTAATTTTTCTCAAGGGTTACTAAAATTTCAAGTCAAAAGACTCAGGATCAGAGCAACTGGTATAGGAATATAATCTGTATGTTATTTTAGCAGGTATATTGTATAAAATTGAAATTATATCCATTTGTCATCCAAAATATAGTATTGTAAGGTGCTGCCACCTTTAGAATTCGCCAAAAACTAAAATCACATAAACTATTTTCTTTCATTCTCTACCACTCTACTGATTGGTATTTCATCAATGAAACATGCATTAAATGCACCTGTCTAATTCAGTAACCTTTCTGAAATATTTTTATTTTGGAAAACAAACTGAATGCTATGGGGACATTCTGGTTTACTAGTCCTTTTTCATTTACTGGAAAAGTCAAAAGAAAGTACGTATTGGAATTCATAAGAGTCTTTAGTATGATCTCAGGAGTCTGTATGATGAGCTTTATATTCAATTACAACAAAAGTTACATGTATTGCAACTCAAAAGTTTAGTTTGATAGAAATAAGATTTTTTAACTTACATGTCTATATGTCTATTACTAAATAAAGACACAATTAATTATAAGAGTGGCACTGTTAAAATTGTGTATATCTAAATAAATAGATTAATAAATGAATGAATAGATAAATAAATAGTTGACATTTTCAACAATTTAGCGAAAATATATTCATACATGATTTACCACAGACTGTTGTTTGGTTAATTATGGGGGAGGTTGGGTGTTTGCACATTTCTATTTTGCCAAACTATTTTCTATAACTAAATGATATCAACAATCATTTTTACCTTAATTGTACTAAAGGTCCTGAAGTAGTAGTACCAGATACACAGAGATTAAGGAGTTCCAGGTGAATTCCGCTATCTTGGTATTATCTAATAATTGTTGATAATCTATCTAGAAATGAACCCAACAAGTGTGCCTTATCAGCTCTTGCTAAACATATATCTGAGAAATTAAACAAAGAAGGAGAAATTTGCATGGAAAATTATGAATTGGGATTAAAATTGTAGTTAATGTTAATGAGGACATTGCGATTTAAATCAATTTTTTGAACTTTGATTTTTGTCATTTCTTTGTATGAATTGACGGGGAGAATATAATTTCAGTGTCCATCTGGTAATGGGGTTTCCACTCCTTTCTCTCAAAATTTGAAAAAGTGTCTGATTTTTTAGCATTTCTATATTTTTCAGAGTGTTAACGTTATGTCTGTTTACTTTATTCCTTGCAGATTCCACTCTTTTTCACTCTATTTTGCATTTCAAAATACAACAATCATATCATATTCCACCTGGGTGGACTTTGTATTAAAGTAGCACAATATCCTAGATGGCCTCCCCTGGAAAAAAGTATCAAGGTATCATGTTTGAAATGGAAAATAAAGGAAAAAATAGTGGATTCAGCAAGGAATAAAGTAAACAGACATGTAGTTAACACTCTAAATTGTATAGAATTGCAAGAAAATCAGGCAGTTCATTCAAGTTTTAGAGAGAAATAGTAAGATAAAGACATGACAGGAAAGAATTCTTGGGGAGACTTTATCAAGTTATAAGAGATTTATGAATCCTGTTCTGATAATATTAAATGAAAAATGTCACCACATACTTCGATTGAAATTGCATAAAATTTTCCTCAGCAAATTTTGAGGTTGCATTTTTTTGGTGTTGATTTTGATGAGAATTTTCAGAACAAGTGATCTGAATACTACTGTATTTAAAAAATGGAAATATTTGAATTGTTTTAGATACAAGGTTAATGTTTCTTCTTAATATTATGAACAGAATAATAATATAATAGAATAATATTATTGTGACAGAATACAACAATAATACAGTTTTTGGATAATTTGATTGGGGTGATAAAGGATTGTATCTCCTACTTTGTTGTAAAATATTATTTCTTAATAAGACTAAGCTATTTCCTTTAAAATAACTTTGTTTACGACAAAAGTTTGATTTTTATGAAATCTATATGTTTACCCTTAATTTCCTTATTGTGATTGGTGTTTAATATCGATGACATCAAAAACTTTCCCACATTTTTTGTAAAAATAATTCTCTACCAAAAACAAAGGAAATGGTCGTAAAACTAAATTTATTAAGAATGTCAAATGTCGTCTGGATTAACAAAGGTATTATAATGAGTGCCAAAAAGTTTTGGGAGAGCAGACATTTCAGCACTCTTAGATAAAATCGCAAACTGATCTCATTTTGAAATGCAAAATTGAGTAAAAAGAGTGGAATAAGCAAGGAATAAACCAAACAGGTGTGTAGTTAATATTCTAAATTGTAAAGAAATGCAAGAAAATTAGGTAGTTTATTCAAATTTTAGAGAGAAACCGTGTGAAATATGTATTAGCAGACGGACGTTTGGATTGCGGTTATACCTGATAAAAACAAGGGATAATGGCTCTCTATATTGCCTAGTGCTTGGAGAAAGCTACTTCAAAAATGCAAATTAGAAAGTTTATACCACTTACGGTGACTCCAAACTTCCTAAAATGTACTTAGATATTTTGATTTATCTTAGCGCGTACTGATTTATCATAAATTGAGTAATGTCAGTTTCGAAGGCCATGTGACATTGATAAGAATATAGTCACCCTATCTGAAAAACATCATCTTAGTTACACCTATTTTTACTGCTTTTCTTACACAAATTTGAATAAAAAGTCAAATAATTTTACATTGCTATATAATTCAGAATGTTGGTTCATTGTCTACTTGAATTGTTCTTTTAGAATATCTCTGATTTTTTCTGTAATCCAAGACGAGAATCATGACCCACGGTAAATTTTTATTTTGGGTTATCAATGCATTGTTAAGTAGTGTTCTTGAGGCCCCCAGCTTAATCTGTCTAAATGATTTAGAATATTAAAAGTACTGACACTAATTCAAATGATAGTTTGCGAGTTCAACACTTCTGTGTTTGGTCTAGTTTGGATTTAATTTTGTTAACACACAGTTTCGTTTATTAAAATTATATGTTTGACATTCACTCCATCAAACTAGAAAGCCATCCACAAACATACTTGTACCCCAAAAAATCAACCCCAAACAAATTAAATGATTTTTCAATGCATGTTTGTCATTCCTATCCAATAATGCCCTTTGTTTGAGAAACTAAATTCACAGTATTTTCATTACCTTGAAATTACATTTATTGTTCAATGATTTTGCTTGTGTTTTCAACATTTTACCCATTATTGTCAGAGATCCTATTCAAATCCTAGACAATGTGAGAATATATTGTGTTGATGTATTACTGATAATGTATATATCAACTAATGTTTTCATTATTTATTTAAAATGTTACAAATGACCTATTATCACATGTTTTATTGTCTAGAAGCAAAGCTGATTTGACACTCTTTAAGTACGAAAAATAGTACAAATAATGCTTTTAGATATCGGTCTTTTACAAGTTATATATCAGTGTTACTAGAGTACAACAGCAAATGAAAAATAATGCCTATTAAAAAATACAATTTAGAAAAATTTGATAGACCGAACAGTGATCTCCCCATCGTTGTTTCTCAAAAAGGTTAGATTAAGTATCAGTACCAGGGGACATTCTAAACTGGTCAACATATATCATACATAATGCCATCCTTTTGACATAGTGCAAACACATTTTCAACTCGTTGGCATGTAACTTTTGAATTTTCAAAAGCTAAGTACCAAGTTGCTATGGGAGACTAATGCTTCACTCTAATTCACTCTTTGCCATACAGATGACATCATCGCACGCATGTGTTGAAAACTCTGATCTCTTATAATAAAGAGGCCCAAATTGACATGATACCACACTTCCTACAAACATGTTTTCTCCACTTCAATCAATGATGGGATGGTTTTTTTTCTTCGAG